ACACACACACACACACACACACACACACACACACACACACACACACACACACACACACACACACACACACACACACACGCACACGCACACACACACACCCACACACACACACTGTTGGATAATAATCGTCTTCGTAAGGTCACCCGGGGTAGAATCACTTGCACTGTTTACACTCAACATACACACCTGAAAATCTGCCTGCGCGTGCATGCCGCCCAGCCAGTGCTGCATCTTTCCTTCCCTCCTCATTCCCGAAAACAAACTCAATTTGAACGCATCAGCTCGATGGGTGCGGCATGGCATCTACTCTGCCGCGCTCCCATGAAAGTCGCGAGACCGATACTTGTAATGTCGATCTGCATAGAGGGGCTGGTCCTGGGTAGGCTCCTCTGGGGGATCGTCGAAGAGGGCCTGATAGGCTGGGAGGGTGTCGGACCTGAGTTCGTAGGCTGCCTGCTGTAGGAGAGTCCTGGCCTCGGCTGCTCTGAAAGTGGCGGCTGCAAGCATGGCGGATGGGTATAGACCGCCCCCAGGAGACTGCAATGATGCTGGGGAGGCTGCTCTCCAGTTCCCTAGACTTGGTCTCTTCTTAGCTGCATGACTGACCGCGCCTGCGAGGCGCAGTTCCTCGGCTCTGTCAGGGGTGGCTGCAGCTCCACGCATCATGTGCGCTAGTTGGCATAATGGTGCATCGAATGCGGGGTGATATCGCAGTTGCCTCCTTGCTGCGAATGACATCGAACATGCCATGCACGAACTCCCCCCCCCCCCCCATGAAACGTGAGATAAGGTGTACTGCACTGTAGTGTACGCGCACAATGTGCTGACTTGTGCTCGTGGCCGACGTACCCAAGAAATCACACCACATACACTGAAGACGGATATTGAACACCTTAGGGGTGTAGATGGGGCGCGTGGGATCTGCGGTAGGAGCTGGCACGCCTGCTGGCCTGACTAGCGAAAAGAAGTCGCTCTGTGTCTGCTGGGCCAGGGCCGCTCGAGCTGCTGTCTGAACATGGGCTCTGAATGCACCGTTGAGCTCGTGCTTCCGCGCTGGCACAGATGTCTGGGCAGCCCCCCATCCCACTTCGCAAAGTGCGTGTCTGGCTCAGGCATGTCACGAAACGTGTGGCATGAAGTGCGCAATCGCTCCAAGTCCCCCAGAAATCTGTGCATCCAGGAAGCGCGACGGCCATGTGACACTCTGTGCACATGCGTGACCAAGCTGCGCAAGGCGGGCGCGCCGCAGTGCATGAGCCGCCCCAGCATGCACAACCTATGCGCACGAAGCATCGCGCGTAAGCCAACCCTCTACACATTGGCAAGGATCGGTCTGTCTGGGACTGCATCTGCACCCTTTTGCGGTAGGTGGAGCACCTGTCGATACTTATGCGCCATGGCGCGCTGCATGCGCGCGCGCTGTGCATCGCCGAGCAGGGGCCAAGTACCTGAGTTGAACAGTAGGTCTGGGAGGAGGAGGGCGTCGGTGAAGTGGAGGCAGACTTCTTGAGGAATATCCGCTGAGGCCACGAAGATACGCAGTCGCAGTAGGTTCCCCGAGGGGCGCATGGAGGCCCCCCTGCGGGCCAGCTCTGGCTCCTCGCCCTCGTAACTGAAAAAAATACCTCTGGTTTGCCTGCTGCAAAGTTGGGGCGCAAGCCTCGGCGCGCAAAGCTGGCTGCCACCACCTCTGCCACACGAGGCGCTACGCGTAATGAACGGGGGCGGGGCCAATGACAATGATAGCACCGTCGTCAAAGAAGCAAATGTCCAATCCCCCCCGGATGGCGCCTGGCGCACGTTGTGGCAAGTCGGCCATGCCCGCGTGCAAGCAACAGGAATGCGGATGTCGAGCTCGAGCCCGCGTAGAGACTGCTGCGATTCCTGGGCGCATGCTGCCATGACAAAGTTGACAATCACATCCGCCAGCTGTTGTCCTGGCACCGCCCCTTCCAGTGAGTGGGCAACTGCCGTGGCTCCCGGGCACCAAAACCAACCGCCTGTGTAGCTGGAGGCTGTGCGGGCCCGAAGATGCCGAGAAACTCCAGCGGCCTCAAGAACAGCGGGGTGCCGTGCCACGTGGGCTTCGAGGTCCTCTACGGCGCCTGCTGGGGGCCCCGCTGCGGAGAGGATGAGGTGGAGGCCCGCGTGCTCGCGCCCACTTGCATGACCAACTCCCGCATGGCCCCGTAGAAGGCCGAGATGGCGTCTAGCACGAAAAACATAGCTGACTGGTGGAGGGTAGCGGCCAGTGCTTGAAATGACTTGAGCACGGGAGCGGCAATATCCAATCCTCTGCCAGCAATGCCGCCATATTGTGAGTCCCCTGAAAACATGGGAAGCACCTTAGCGAGCGGATTCCGGAGAAGCTGGCGATATTGCTTGCCCACCTGTGAGGATATCATGACAGAGCGATGGCGCTTGCACTTGGAAGGGTTCGCTCCCCCCCTCGCCACTGCAGTGGCTCCTCGATCCTATGGCAGGCCTTGACCACCACTGGGTAAAACATTTTGCCTAAGTCTGGCGCAAACTGGCGAAGCAAGGCACCTGGGATGCCATCTAAGCTGGCTGCTGAGGGCTTGGCTGAGCGGCACGCATGTTGGTAGTCCGCCAGGGTGGGTCGGAAGGCGTTGGATGTGCCGATGTCGCGCGTGAGACTATTCTGCAACTGTGGGATAGTCTGCGCAAAGGTATCAGCCTCCTCTAATAAAACCACAACTCAAATTTCCTCGGCGGCAAATAAGGTAGCCGACGATTAGCTGCCTCTGCGTGGGCGGCGGCAGTCGCGCTATCCTCCAGCTCTATGATGGGCAAGGCGCGCGTGCTGATCCTATTGGTCAATCCGATACCCAGAGCACGCAGCTCGTCGAACACCCCTCCGAAACGTCTTCGTCCCCAAGCGTCGGCAACACTGGAAGCTAGTCCTTCATATCGTCGTGGGGCATCGTTAGCTGTCGAGTGACAAATGAGCAAAGTAGTGCGGAACAGAACGAGCTCGCGGTGGGCACTTGCACAGGCGCGCGCTCCATGCGCAGAGTCCCAGCAGCATGTGACGTAGTTCCATATTTCCGCGTCTCCTCCCGGCACCTTCCAATCATCATCGCACGATGGTAGGAATGGTAGTGGAAGTATGATGGCAGATACCCAATTGATGTCCCCGCTGTGCTAACATCCTAGGCCGTCCCAGTCCTTGTCTCCTCCCTGAGCGCCGTTCCCGAATGTCGGCTGCTCTTCTCAGCAGCGACGCGGCGGCCTGCGGAAGTAGCAAGCACGAGCTGTGTAGCGAACGAACCTGGCGAACTAAGGCTGGCAAACTAGGGGGGGCGGCCTGTGGCCGGCGAGTCGCCAGCCGTAAAACTGATCGACGCAAGCGCCCATCGCCACGCAAAGAATAGCACTCGCAGCATGTTGCCACTGGCCCACAATACTAGATTGCGGGCGAGGCGTCGGTAGATACTTCTTTCGTCCTGAAGACCCAAGGTGTCGATACTGATCCAAGATTGTCGCGGCCGCCTCCCAGTGGCCGTCGCTCGCGCCGGGAAAGCTGCCCCCATGCGTCGTCGCACGCGGTCCTCGCATGCCTCGGCATGGCCCGAGCTGCGGATGTCAAAGGGTGGGGGGGGGGGGGGCAGAACTGCATGAGCACGTGCTGGAATGCCTGGGCAGACGTCGGATCCGCGCAAAGACTCGG